GCAGTTGGACTAGTGTGTTTGCGTTGTGGCGCACAGCTGTGCAGGAGGTCAAAGTTCAACCAGGAAGTTGAATGTTGAATGTTTTTTGCAGACTCTTATTTTGTTTACTCTTGTTTTTGGTTGAATAGTTTTCTCTAATCTTGCAGGGTTAGGTAAGGAGTTAATGTTTTTCCTGCCCATGTTCCGGCTTGTTTGACACGTGTTTCCAAACAGACAGGTGTCCGCATGCTTGCAGCATTTCGCTTTCTGACATCGGCAGTTGAAAGGAATGTGATCGCAGGCCATTTCAGAGGAACGCTTTCGGCTCTTCTTATCTTCACGTGAAGCTTTCACTGCATGCAGGATTGCAGCTCAACCAGCCGTTGCGTTCTCATCGCAGTTGTCGTTTATTAAAAAATGAGTGTGCGCAGGTTCAGCTTCTTGGGACAACAGCTTGCATCAGATTAACAAATATGTTACAACTCAAAAAGCGCTCTGAGGAAAATGTGAGTTGAAATGACTCTGCTGGCTTTATTGGAGGGTGGTTCAGCCCCCGTTTGAGGTCACAGCACCCTTCTTCTCTGTTGGAAGTGCTACCAACAAAGAAGAGAGTCGGTGTCCGCCGGCTGACGTTATAAAGTGTAAATATTTGAAATATTACAAAAAAAAAGAAATGGACAGCTGTTTTTGCTAGTAAGCTGACCTCATTTGTCTTTACACCTCTTATGATAAATTTTAATTTGAATATTTTAGAAACGAGCCTTTTCTTCCTCAAGAGTCGAAGACTGAGAACAGATTTTAGCAGATAATAGTCCATAATCATAGTGCTCGTCAATGATCTCCTGCTTAGTAACTGAGTTTTTATTTAAGATATTGGTGGGAAATTATGAATTATTTATGCTGGGATTAGAGGAGATGTCAGACTGTGTGAGAGAAAGGAATGTCTATTATTGAAACACAAACGGTAATTTTGAGTCCATTGTTCCCTGGTTGGAACAGTGGACTCGGATGAGACGTTGCCTCTGAATTAATCCAGAATAATGTTTTTTAATTGATACTACATACTACTGGTAAAGTTAAACGCATAAAATAAATGTTTATTGTTACGGGGATAAAGGATAAAAAAAAAAAGTCAAACTGAACAAGTTTATATCTGTGTGGCACGATGCAATATTAGTGCTTAGAATGCAATTTGGAACAAGGACAAGTCTAAAATGATATATTTTCATAAAAATGTTGGTACTTTAATCTCTGTTAAATGGCTCCTTTGTGTCACTGTACTATAAATACTGCAGAAAACCCCCCCAAAGTTGTCTTTTGCTGAAATTTGTCTTTTTGTAACATTAAACTATCATTTTGGTCACATTTTATGCAGATGACACTGTTACTTGACAATAAAATGAACTTAATCCAGCTGATTGTCGAAGTCGATGGCTAAACGCCTTTTAGCTGAGAATGAATTTAACTTTATTTCACTCAGGATTAGCTGTGGAAACCACTTAAGATGCTTCACGTAGTTTCCTGAACTCGGTGAAAATTTATCCTTCAGTCAAAGTTCAAGCAGCTGAATCCCGACTTCTCTCTCGGCTGCAGGCCTGCGGTTTTTGAAATCTAAGCTTTCACCCTGTTTGGCGCCCGTCTGTCCTCCTGAAACACCTTCGCTCTTCCGCGTGCCGTTTGTCTGTGTGAAATGAATATTTGATAGATCTCCACATTCTTCCCGTCGCATCTTACAGCTGTCTCTACGAGTCAGGAGTGAAATGTATCAAACGTTCGAGCTTTAGAGCGTATGCGATTTAACATTTTGGTTGCTTTCAAAGTGGCGAGAGATCAATATTTAATTTTTTTTAAATGTCAAGTGAAATGTAAACCTGCAGATCTCCGCGGGGTTGGATATCTGTGTTTCGCGTGGCTTGTGTTCATCTCTTCGATGAGGGTCAGCCCGTTCTTTCCTGTTCGTCCTTGGAGACGCGCTGCGTCTTAGCAGACAGCAGGAATGACTCAACCGGCTTTTTCCCCCCCCCTATCTGTTACTACGTCACACACACAAAAGCCCACACAAGGCGGTGAAACCGGATCGTCTCTTGTGCCTATTCCTCGGTTTGGGTTAGTGCACTCCTCTGCTCTTTCTTCAACAGTTGAGAGCTCAAATCCCAGCCCAGCTCAACAACGAGAGTCAGCGTGACGCTGATCACGGGTTCCCTCCCCGTCTCCTTTGTGATGATAGGAGTGTTGCTACGATGGCAGGCGGCCCACCTGTAAGCGAGCCGGAGCGGGGAAGAAAAGGCTAACGGATTCCGGTAAAAGTCCAGGGTCACGCCTCCTGAACAAACATTCAAACCCGATTAATATGAGAATACAAACACATGGGCGTGGGTCGATTTTGAAGCCGTTTATTGAGAAGTTGAGGGAAATCGTAAAACTTTTCTTCTTTAGCCCCTTTAAGCCGTCAGTCAGCCGTGTGTGCCGACCACTTATCCAATGGAGGAGGGAAAAACAAATTGTACTTTTTAAAAAACAAATCCCATTTCAAAAACCAAATGATCACCATAAGCAAGGTAATTACAGGGTCTGCTGTTGAAACGGAGAGCCTCCTCCAGGCAGGAAGATTATCTGGCTTAGAGAGACCACAACTGTCAAAACATGAGCTTTTGGTTCTGCTGTTGGTGACACAAGAGCAGGAGATTATGAAATGTTGATCTGTAGGGTGTCTACAGTCTGGAAAAGTGTGAACAGGATTCCAGTCTTCCAGACCTGGATACGTTTGGGAAAACAAATGTGGGAAAATATTTGACTTTCCAGATTTGCTATTTCATAGCCAAACATTGTTGACTGGCTCCATTTCATACCCAGAAGCCAAACAGTTTTCTACCCAATATCTATTTGTCTTCCTAGTTTAGCATTTTATTGAAATTGCAAAGAGACATAATCCTCAAAAATGTCCAGATCTCTTCATTTAAATTTATCTTGCATTATTTTAAGAGGAATTTGTGGTCGTTTTGTTCCCCGGTTGGAACAATGGACTCAGATGAGACGTTGCCTCTGAATTAATCCAGAATAACTTTGATTTTCCAGTTGCAGATCCTGGTTTCATCCCAAGTAGACTGAGCAGATTCCAGAAAAATCCTCTGATTGATGGATGACGCAAAACAGTCTGTAGCAGATGGCTTGTTTTTGGACTTGTTCCAAAATAATAATAAAGAAGAAACGAAAGTGAAAATGCTGAAGCGATCAAATGACCCGCAGCTTTCACACTTCTAATGTAAACATGGAGGTAAACCATTATGATTTATGGTTTTATCTCACTAGGACCTTTTTATAGTGTTGAAATACAAAGTTCTTCAGAAAATCGATCATCTCATTAATGGTTTCAAATCTTTCCGTCCTTTATTAGGTGTTTATACAATGTTCAATTGGTGTTAAAAGGTTTAAAGGGTACAAAGAGTATCCTCTTATCCTCTATGCTGTTCTACCACCCACAGCCTGAACTGTTGGTACAAAGCAGGACAGATGCAGGGTTTCATGTCTATTCCCAATACTGACCTCAACAGCTGAATCTGAGACTTACCGGACCAGGCCATGTTTTTCCAATCTGTTACGGTTCCGTTTCAATTGTCCAGAGTGAATCATACACTCAGCTTCCGTTTTTTGTTTTTTTTTCTTTTTTTGCTACTCCACAGAACGTCCTAGTCGCCCCCGGCCGAGCCGTGCGTCTTGCAGGTGTGGTCGGTTTGTTCAGTTGAAGCTGGAGATAAATGGGCATTTTGTGCACTGAGCATCCAAACCTGGCAACGCAAGACTCAACATCCGCCGCCGTGCAGCTTAGTTAAATAAGGCAAGGCTTCGGCGCGTGTGAGAGGGGCGCGTGGCTAATTGGCGGAGAAGCTTCTCACATACTCATTGATCAAAGTGTGTGTGTGTGTTTCAGAGCAGATGGTGACAGTGCATGAGTCAGTGTGTGTGTGTGTGTGACGTCCAACTGACTTCACCCGCGCCGCTAGCTGTGCCAAACTCACACTGGTGCACCTGTATTTATAGCTTTGATCTGTGTGTGTTTACTGACTTGTACCTGATGTGGTAAAGCTGGTTTATGTCAAGTCCCCCCCTTCTTTTGCTACTGTGTGTGTGTGTGTGTGTACTGTATATACATACACACCGTGTGTTTCAGTGGAGACCATGGTGTGCGTTTCCTGCTCATTGACGTGTAAAGCTGCAATCTGGATGTCTGGCTGTGAGGACCTGCCTCACCACCCACACACACTCACTATTAACGCTGCGATACACACCTCTTCTCGCGCAGTTAACTGTGTTACTTCAGGTCTATTTATGGTCCTCTGGCTCAGACAGCCGGCTCTACTTTAGCCTGACACCAACTAAATTAAAAAAAAAAAAAAAAAAAAAAAAAGGAATCACTTTGCATTCACAGGCTGATGTTGAACTGCTGTAAAATGACAAAACGCTGGCATGTCGGACAGAGGAGGGAAGATCTGCCGCTCTGGGTGAAGCACGGGAACTCTGGTTGTTATCAGGTTGGAGTGGCACCCTATCAGGTTCCTTGCTTCAATTAAATTTCAGCCTGGTTGGCAACAGGACCATAAAACACACTCCACATAGTCCTGAGAGTTGGAGAGAAGATGGATCTTTCTGAAGCACAACTTGCCCCTAAATAAAATTGCTGTACATCGGGAAAAGTAGGGATAAAGCATCAACAAATTTGCGTTGTCAATAATTTCTTTAACATAGCAACTTGACTAGAACCAGTCATTAACCTGCTAGAGCGAGACTCGACAATAGAAAAGAGGTGACATTGGCTGAGTTGTAACAAACGCCGCTTAAGGAGTGGGATCTCGTCTCACAGTAAGTAGCGCGTGACCAACGTAAGGAGTTAGATGTCAGGCTTTTGCGTGGTTCTCCTATGCACTGTCTTGTTTCTTCTCCTGTTATGGTGTATCTATGCCTTTTTACATGCAAGCATAATGTGACGGAGCTCGTTTTTTCCTTCCTCACTCTTTTCCCCACAGAGCCGAACTTCACACTGACCCTGGAAGCCGCCACGAAGCCCCAGAAGACGGGCGAACCCATAGAGCTCTCCTGTGACGTGACCAACATCTCCCAGCTGCCACCAGGGGGCAGACTGGGTGTCAGCTGGGAGTACATCAGCCTTCCTGGTACTGCACTGTAATTACCTTTTTCCTTTTAAGCTGAAAACTCTGTTCAAGGTGGATTTATTGATTCTGTCCAATCACTAATAGATAAGGTGACAAATGCGTCGCCTCCGAAGCTCATTGGCTCCTTGGACGCCAACGGCAACCTGGAGTCGAATTCGGCGTACAAAGACAGGCTGGACAGCGGAGTGTTGGTTCTGAGCAGAGTCCAACCCAACACGTTCAAACTGCGGTTTCTCCGCACACAGGTAAGAAGTTAATCACCACAACCAGAGGATCTGCCAACGTAGCACTAAGTTCAATCCTGTTAAAACGACGTTTTATCCCTTTTGCAGAAGATCGACATGGGCCAGTATGTGTGCACCGTCTCTGCCTGGAGCGTTAGCAGCCAGGGGAAAATGGTGAATGCCGCAGAGTACAAAAGCTCGCCGCTGACCGTCCTGTGGGACACCAAGAGTAAGCCAGCTTCAGAACGCCGCCTCACATCCACTTTTATGACCGTTTTAATTGATTTAAACAAAAAAAAAAAAACCCGTGTGGGATCTCAAACCGAGAAGTCGAAGTTGTTCTTTTGTTTAGCTTAATGGCTGCAGATTAAATCCTGGGCACTTCTGGTTCAAAGAGAGTTTTAATGTCTGCAGCTTGGAGAAGCCTTGAGTGCTTTAGATGAAATGATTGAAAATGCCAAAGTAACACCAGTGAACAGTAGCATTTTGAGCTTCAGCTCCGATTTTGTAACTGTAGTTTCCAGACTTCACAGAGAAATCCCACAAAAGACAACTTGTTGTCTCAGCTCCTCACACACAATACACGCACACATTTACTTCCTGTCCGCTGAGAACTTTCTGACCTCGGCTTATCTAATCGGGCCATGATGTCATCACATTTTCTAGTCTTCCTACGTTGGTGCCGGTTTTAGAAAATAAAAGCCAAGGTTCCTACGTAGTCTGTAAAAGTCTGGAGTTTCATTTCAGGGTTGTCCAGGTGTGGAGAAGTTTGGAAAATGGAAGTATGGGTACAAAAAGTATTTTGAGACTCTTTGTTTTTTTTAACCCATCACATCGCTTCCTTGAACACTTGGGTCTTTGCTTCCTTCCTCTCATTCCGCAATCATTTTTCTTTTCCTTCCTTCCTTCTGTCTGTCCATCTTATTTAATGTCCTCCTTCATTCCTCCCTGTCTTCCTTCCCTACTTGTGCCCTTTCTATCCTTCCATGTGTCCTACCTCACTTGCTTCATGTTCTTTCATCTCTCCCTTAAATTTTCGCTTCCTTATCTCCTTCCTTCTGTTTGTCTATCCTTCCTTCCATTCTGTTTCTCCTTGCGTTCTTGTTCATTTCTGCCTTCTTGTCTTTAGTACATCCTTACATCCTTGTATCTGTCCTTCCTTGCATTCTTTGTCTTTCCTTCCTGTATCCTTTCTCCATTCCTTCCGCGTACTTTTTTTCCTAACTTGTATCTTTTTATCCTTCCTTCCATAAGCATCCTATTGTAGAAATATCCTCCATAAAGTCATGATGAACTGGAGTATTAAAGTGTTAATCTCAAGTCTTTACAAACCCAAGAAACGTTGTGTTGTGACCCCTTCTAAGGTTGATTTAATGTCGTCTTGCGTTTTTTTAGGCCCCACTGTCAAAGTCGCAGCCAAAACCATTCGTAGCGTCTCAGTGGGCGGAGCTACCTTTGAGATGACATGCTCCGCCATCACCGAGAACATCGGCGACTGGATCGGCTTTGCCGTGCAGATCCAATCACAGAGCGGCACAGAAGCCATCAAACCAATCATGTCCCTTAGCCCCGACAACGTGGTGCAGGTCACTGACCCATCTAGGAGGTACACACACCGTCCCTCACCTTAAACCACACACTCCGAAGTTTGATTCTAACGTCCTTCGACCTGCTCCCACAGGGACAGTCTGGTTCTTGCCAAAACCGGCGCGATGGAGTTCAACTTCCGCCTGGAGGGCGTCCAGCCGTCAGACAAAGGGAACTACTGGTGCGACGTCACGGCTTTCACCAAACAGCAGCCAGATCAGTCCTGGACCACTGCCGCCACGGGGAATTCCAACAGAATCACCATCAACTTTCAAGAAAACGGTACGTCCACATGCTTCTTCTTTCTTCTTTTTTTTTTTTTTACTTAGCGTTTATCTGTTCATCTTGATGCCTTCTATTGTCGTCGAAAAGTAGATTTATTTAAAATTATCAAGTTCAAAAACTTCAATTTCTCAATTAATTTCACACAAACTGAAGTAGTTCAAGCATTTATTGCTGTTAATTTAGAAGATAAACACAACCTAAGTTTTACAGACAATTACATAAAACCAGTTAATAAAAATGAACATTTCTGCAGAAATGATGCCGGCTTCAGTGTGGATCCTTGCATATTGGTGGAAAGTTTAGTGGAAGAAAAAACTCTGCTAGCAAAAATCTGCACAAGCATCTTGGATTTTCGTGACACAAAAATCCCGAAGCCAAATCCGATATCAAGATAAACAAGACTTGATGTGCTGCTGTTATTTATCTAATCTTGGAGACTTTTTAGCAATTTATGAAGCAGAATTTGTTTTAAGTTGTTTAAAGGAGAATCACATTTAATTTTAAAGCAGATAAAGCACAAAAACAGAACCACCATCTGCTCACTGGCTCATCACAAACCGACTCCTGCTCCTCTGACCCGCTCATTTTTTCAAATTAAATATCGCTTCTATGGCGTCCCAGCAGGAGCTCTGTAAGAAAGCCATCTCATTTAATAAAAATCCAACAAAATCCATCATTTCAAAACAAACAAAATCCTTTCCTGTTTGCAGCTGCATTCATTAATTATTCAAAGCCATTTTGCAGCCTTTCAGTGATTTATTTGCTTTCATAAAAGTCCTCAGATCATTAGCGAGTGAACTAATGACGGGACTAAAGTCCTGCAGTAAGTGAAAGAAAGATGGAAGCAGCTCTTTTTTTCTGTTTCCTAACACATTGCAAACGCATCCTCTATCCACTCGCGTGTAAAATGAAGTCCCTAATAATGTGCAAAAAGGCACACACACACACCTAGAGCTCTTTGACGCCCACCACTGCCACTGGCCTACTTATTGTCTTTTGATCTGACTGGGAAGTTGGAAACTAAAAGAGGAAACTGGATGGGAGGTGATGGAGTGGACGAGGAGAAAAAAGAAGAAAGGTTTGTTGGTGGGAAAGTAATCTGAGTACAAGAGAACATAGAGAGGAAGTTGGAAGGGTAGATGAAAATTGAAAATGTTTGCGGTAGAGGGAGGAAACAAAGAAACTGGAAATAAGTTGAAACTTTAAGGTCAGATATTAAAATGAATAGATTTTAAGTTCTATTTGTGAGTCAATAAGATGCAAGAAACTAACCGGGTTTGTAAATTCACGTACATAAACGTGTTTAGCGTAGGCTTCATTCACAACAGTCTTTACATATTAAATGTGATCCCATTCAAACAACCCTCAAATCCAGTGCTTATGTCTGTTTTTGTCTCAGCAGGTGCAAAAGCAGACGGAAAAAAAAAGTCTGAACAGAAAGCTCAAAGTTCTGACAGAATCTAGGCATTCCTCCGAACAAGGAGCTCTTAATATTTGTGTGAAATATATATTTTTAATAAGATTTTGACACCAAAGAATGGACCCAAATGTGAAATTCCCACATGTCAAAATGGACATCTAGAGAATGCAATAACTGCATTTAATTCACGCAATTTTCTAGTCGCAAACAGCGCTGGTCTTGTAGAATGCTATACCATTTGCTCCAAATGTTTACACTTTTTGTGTTCTTTGAGTCAATTACCTTATGTAATTCATCAAAAAAGGTAAATATGTAAAACGTATAAAGGCTGCAATAATCTGCATGGTCATCTTTAAGCCAATGCTATGTTGAACTTTGTTCACAAAATGTGCCATTATTATGCAGATGTGTGATTTTCTGCATATTCTTCGTGATGACTTAAAACAGACTCGTGCTCCCGGTCAGAACTCTGCTTCGGAGCGGCTTGTGTCCCAGATTTTGTTCCTACACATCGGATGCCACATTTTTGAATTATCTTCGCGATATCTTTAGGAGGAAAAGACGCTTACAGGCTGTGGGAGTGGAGCGACGACGTACGAGACACGTGGAAAACCAGATGATAAACCCAGGACTGCGTTTCTGTCTCTCTCTGGGGGAAAGCGGGAGCCTTCAGCTCCACGTACATCTCCCGCTTTTTTGTCCCTGCCCATCCATCCTTCCCCGTCTCCTCTCTCTCTCTCTGGGACGTCTTCAAAGCGCAGCCCTTTGGCCAATCAGCCGGCTGCGAAGATCTGCACCGCCGCTTTCATTTCTTTTTTCTTTTTTTTTTTTTTTTTCCCCGTCTCCGCTCGCTTAAATGTGTGTGGAATCTTTCAAGTGTGTGTCCAAGTGGAATATTTTAAGCTGACCCCCTATTCCCCCTGCTAACACACAAACACACCCACATAAACAGTGTGTCAGCGTCAATGTGAGCTGGTGGAGAGCCCCCATATGCTCGCCTGAGGGGATGGAAGCTCAGCTCTGTGCGAGCATCTTCACTCCTTCCTCCGTTCTTCCAGCTGTATCCTCAACGTTTCAGAGGTGTCGTCCTGTTTCTGAGTGTATGGAAATGCAAAAACCTCGCTAACACGTTTCCCGTCAAGTATTTCAGCTCAAATGCGATCTGGCAGAACCGCAAATATGGAGCGGCTGCAGAGGAAAGACTGGATTGGTGCAAAAGTGTCTTTTATTTTCTGGTTTTTATGTGTTCAAAGTTGAACCTTCGTGTGTTTTTCACTCTGCATTTTATGTGAAGTCGCTACATTTGCAAAAAAAAAAATGTAGCAAGTCAGGATTTAAGATGTATTCCCTGCTTTTGGATTCCAACTCCTTTACTCTACTTTGTAAATTTCCCCCGAGAACATCAGTGAGCATCACAAAGACCAAGGAACACAGCAGGAAGATCAGAGAGAAAGCTTTGGAGATGATTTAAAGCAACAGGTTTAAGTTTTGAAACGGGATCCCCCAGCGTTTGGACGTGACGCAGCACTCTGTTAAATGTAGTGTCTGAAATCAACAAACCAGGCTCTGCTTCTGCTGGAGGTTCCTTCTTGTTAAGTCGGTTTTCCACTGCGTTTCCATTACCGCCGCGCGCAAAACTTTGTCGAAATTCAGCAGAGTTACGCAATTGCAGTGTTTCCATAAAAAAAGTAATGCAACTTTTTTTTCTTTTTTTTTTTTTTTAAACCTAGTTTTTAAATTTTAAACTGGCATGTTTTTTTTTTGGCAAATTTGTTGTTTTAATTTTTGTTTGTAATTTTATGGTAAATGGAAATGCAGTTGGTGTGCATGTCACATGCCTATGATAGAGAAGTGACTAATCTGTTAATTGGAAAACTTAACCAGTGGACTGCATTGTTTTACAAGTGTGACTGAATTGGAATGTGTCCTTAATTGAACTGAATTGACAATATATTTTTATATATAAATTTAATCGTGGGGCCTTCCAACATTTTTTTTTGAATCTGCTTCGTAGTCAAGCCAAGTTTAATCCAGTTTGCTACAAGCAAACCAGAGTTTATTGATAAACCAATGGAACTAAATACAGGAAGAAAACCTGTTTCAGGTTGTATAAAGACTTGGGTGTGAGATCATTTTCCTTTTAAAATCCCAATAAAACTATTTACATTTGTTTATTGCAATGTGAGAAGATGTGGAAAAGTAGAATTTTCCAACTCTCTGGATCCGATTTCCTAATTTAGAAACATGTTTACTCTTTAAATCACCTTCTTGATGCCCTGAAAGCACAGCTACCATGTCGGGAGTTCCTCTTAGGCCGTTTTGCAGCACTTGTAAATGAACTGGGTCTCATGAATTTATACATTAGAATCAGACTTTCTGTGACAGACGATTGGACTGGAGTTCACCAAGCAGTCGGTCGATCTCTCCATCTGCCTCGCACCAACCCATCTGTCTTCAACGCTCAACAACAGGCCAAACTACTGCAAGTCTAGTTGACATGGGCAACAATCATAGCCTAACCGAACCTGTCTCATCAGTGCCATTCTGCTTTTCCTTTCACTTAATGTTTTCAGTTGAAATTCACATTTTTCTATACACTACATATCTTTTTATAACGAGTTTCTGTTTTAAAATCTGAAATTTCAGCAGTGTAAATGTTTGAGAACTACTCAAAAGTTGCACCAACGACCCAATGAAAACTCATGCTACAGTATGCAGACGCTCTGCCTGCACTAGCGAAGGATCACTACAGTCAACGGGCTGCATAGTTCTATAAACTTTCATCTCAAGACGGTCGCCCTTTGTTTCAGCAACTCGCATTCATAGGCGTGACAGGACTTGTTTGTTGCCACAAGAAGCATTTTTGGCAAGATAAGAAATAGCAGCTTTTAGGGAAGGAAAGAACAAAATGTACCAGATTCATCCCCCAACCTCCTCCATCAGACTTAAAACAAAACAAAACAAAACAAAAAAAACCTGATGTCATGAGGTTCCACAAATCCAGCAGAAAAGGACTGAACAGAAATATAAGCTTTTCACAACATTACAGGCTTTTTTTTTTTTTTGGTTTTGTTTTTGAAGCACCGAAGGTCAGTGCTGCTTTTAACACATTTCACCGTACAACTGGGCGGACTTGGCTGCACTTTCTTTCGCTCCTTCCACTGGGAGTATCCACTCAAAGCGCTCGGCATGCGAAAAGAAAAATGCATTGAATAATTTACATTTAAAACATGAGTAAAATGGAGACCAAACCCAGCAAACAGCTGAGAGTCTGCAAGTTTTTTTTTGCAACGTTTAGAGCGTCTGACTGGGTGTGTTGGTTCAGAATGTTTTTTTTTTTTTTTTCCCCCTTCTTAATATCAGAGAACTCAACCCCCTTTTCCCTTTTTAAGAGTGTGTTTACTCTCTGAAATGTGCTGTTTCCCCTCGGGGGGGCAACGTGGGTTTAAAAAATTCAGTTTAAATGAGTCTTTTTGATCACTTCCTCTGATGTGCGGAGGCCGTTGTTAAATGTTAAGCTGACTGGAAACGATGCTCTTGGTGTTCGCAGGGCCGTCATTCTCCGTCGAAACCCGCTACGACACCAGCAGCGTTTATCCGTGGGAAACGGCCAAGATGGAGTGCTCTGTCCGCGTCTCCGGATCCTCGCCAAAAAGCGGCGGCACAAACTCTCAGACAGGTAGAACACACTTTGCTGTTCCTCTCGCACGCTCATTAATCCAAAAACAACCCCTTCCCCTAAAAAAAACAAATGCAAAACAGGGTTTTCATCTTGTTTTGTAAGCTTTTATTTGTTTTGGATTTTTTTTCACATCCTTGGCAACAAACACACAGAAGCATTTCCACTCATTACCTCTGAGCTTTTCACCTGCCAGCATGTCGGCAGCTGTGTTCATAACAATGATGGTACACAAGCAGTTGGTTCTGCTCAGAATGTGTTAGTGGCCGGAAAAGCAGGTTTATTACTGTGCTGAACCGGTGTGGTTTGTTGGCGTCTCTCTGCAGATAGCTGGTGAATTCTGCTTCTTTGTGTTAAAGTGAAGCCATAGTTTCCATACTGAAGCCATACTTTCTTGTTCTGAGTAAATTTAAAGGAAAATAAATATGGGGAGCAATCCATTTATCTCCTTCGTTCATCCATCTTCCCATGAATCCTTCCATCGATTTGTTGATCAACTGTCTGTCCATCCCTTTAAAATCTGACGGCTGCAAAAAATATCTGGCATAAATTCATAGGCAACAAAAAATACGAGAGCATTTTAACACAACAAAGTGTTGTGACTGTACAACAGGTCATTTAGCAAAGTGGAACCAAAACTTTTATCTTCCTGATGTACAGAATTACAGTCACTGGTTAGTGATGCTTCTAATAAGTCGGTTAATCATCATCACAATGACGACACGCACGACTTCATCAAACACTAGTGCTTTTTTTTTAGATCCTATATTTCTTGTAGCAAACAGACGGCAGATGTTTAATATTCTTAATTCAGGCAACGTGTCCAAAAGTAAACTCCAAAGGTCAGCGTTTGTCATTTTATCAGTGTGACATTAAAATTATAGCCATAAAAGATTATTTGTACAGCATCTCTACCACAACTATTGATAAGCGTTGGAGGCTCTGTGTGTAAAAAGGACATACTGCAGTAATTGAACAGTCAGATACCTAAAAATTCACATCGGAGCTGAAATGTACTGGGACTTTCAGAGTTTGGAAACCATCTGAGACAGAGCCTTCTGTTTAACCTTTAAAGTATCTCCTCTTCCTCATCTCTTCTTCCTCATATGGCATCATGCTGAACTCCCAACTGCCTGCTGCCCATCTGTCACCGTTCCTCTCCACTTCCTCCTCCTACTCCTACCTTTAGCGGAAGATTTGGTTTTTATTACGGACGCTACCTTCATATGTATACAAAAAAACACGATTTGCTGCACCTGTGGACCTCTGCTGAGTGAACACATGGGCTGTTCTTTTGCCGGCACATGAAAACATGTTTCCTCGCAGCAGGGGAGACCTGTAGGGGTTAGCGGGTTGCTGCCTTCAAAGCGTGCACTTGCAGACAGCTGCGCTGTGGAAGGGAAGCGGGCTTGTTGCTGTGACGCGTGTGTTTAGCGTACGAAGGAAAAAGGGGGCTTTTTTTTTTTTCAGTAAGTTATGCAGACCTGTATTGAGACATGACTTTTTAACCCGAGGGCTTTTATTTTACAAGCGCTTAACTGGAAACTATATATTTCCCCCTGCCAGACGTAAACAGAGAAAAACGTATTGTTATACGAGGACCGGCTTACTGGAGGTGTAGCGATGCATCCAACTCTCTAGATATGATGATTCATAAGATCGAGACGAGATTTTAGCAATGTTTTCGACAGAAATTTGTAATACTTTCTCTATTTTTTTTAAGATTAAAGGTTTCACAAACTGTTGTAAAATCGATCCACAATATAAAGTGATGTTACAGCCAAAAGTAAAAGTCTCCGAATTGCCCCTTTTTGTAATTTGCCAAAAGGATTAAAGGCTGAATACATTTAAAAACATGAGTTAAAGAGTCGGTGTTAGATGTAGGCATATTTTGCTCAGGTTTAAAGTGACAGACTGCTGCATCCTAGGTGCACAAATGAGCATCGTTGCAGATCCTTTACAAAATGTTGTGGCAGGTGTTTTACACTCACTAGTGCTTATATGTAAATCAGGGTGGAATCAAACACCAGAAAATGGACATAATCATTTATATTCTCCTTGTTCATTCATGCTCCTTGCATATTTCTTTTATGTTCAATGACTTTATGTCTTAGCCGTGCTTTTTGACTCGATCTATTAATAAATGAACACTCAGTTCATTCAGATAATCTGCTTGTTCAATTAGAAAAATCGCTCTTCTCTTTATATCGTTAAGGATTTTTAACAGCTTTCCGGCGTGCTTTCATCTGTTTTTCATTCATACCGTCTCAGTATGTTGGTCAAAGAGCTTAATTCTGTTGCTACCGCAGCTTCATTCGTGTTCTGTTTAATCCGTGGAGATTATTTTTGATGTCAAATAAACAGCATGAATGGTTTTAATTTGTGAAACCGACTTGTTTGCTAATGATGAAAAATGCTCTGCACTGTTCTAACCTGTCATCATTTTACAACTAGGAAGCAACAAACATTACAGCTGGTATTTAGTAGCAGTTATCAGTAGAAAATGCAGGTTTCTGAGAGATTTGAATGGGGAAACGATGCTAGAAAAGCATTTTAAGGTTTACTGATGGCAGTTCAGAGCCGAGACTGAACAATGGAAATGGTGTCATCATAGTTTACCCAACAGAGCAAATCCAGATCTAAGTTACCCTACTTTCCCCCAGCTGAATAAATTTAGTTCATTTTAATCTTTGATGGGTTCCAAATAAATTAGGAAACACTCCAGGAAAACACATCCTTATGAGTTTGTTTGTAAAGCTGACGACTAAAATAAACAACTTTTTCATATTTTGTCAGCGATCAACAAACTTCATTGCATTTGATTTGGTAAGTAGCACCTTGTTGTCAAGGAGAGATAGTAAATACGGTGAATCCTTTATTTGTGGGGGTTGGAGATCACAACCGCCCTCGATTGAGGTTAGTTTGTCAAAGCATCTCTGGAAACGTTTACAGTTGCCTATTATCATGGTTCAAACACTAAATATACCTTCATATTCATTGTGGAAACCGCCTTGGCAATATCGCAGAACCTTAACATCTACAGTCTTCCTTTTCTCCCCTCTTTGAGGTTCAGCCAATCGGTGCCAAGGAAAATTAATGTCATTTCTGCCTACCGCCAATAGTGTGTCAAGTAACATTGCGCCTTCATATTTCAGCTTTCTAAGGTTGATTTTCTTTTGAATATTTTGGGGGGGGAAAAATCCTCAAATAGCATTTTTCAACAAATAAGGAAAAATCCATGAACAGGGGATTTTGCATTTGGACGGAGATCCACTGTGTTCTTTAAAACCTAAAATCAGGAAAACCGCGGTGCATTTATATTCAGCTCTTTTTACTGTTTTATCAATAAATGAAATCTTTTGCGGCCCTTTTCCTTCAGAAGTTGCCTAATTTGTCAAAAAAAATAGTACAGCAAAGCAGCTAAGACCCTCATGGGAAGTGAGAGGATCTGTCTATAGGACAAATATTAATGGTGGCCTTTGTGGAAGAGCAGAGATAGAAAGATACCAGAAGTCACATTTGTAGTGAAGGGAGGATGGATGGAGGAAAACCTGTTGGAAGTTGTTGGACTGGTTTTAGATGAAGATATGTAAATGAGTTGGAATGGCCTAGACCTAAAGCTAACAGCTTAAGAAGTTCAGTCTGTTAAATCTGCAGAGGTGGTTTTGCAAAATGACTCAAGAGGGATAAATGAAGGTGTTGGTCCATCACAGAAAATCCCAATAAAGAGCATGTGACAGTATCTCAGGTGCATTACTACATACAGAGAAAGCAAATCACAGATGGTGTCCTGTGAGTCACTCGGTCATGTGGCCAATGAGGAAACTCAAATGAACTAATGTCAACAAAGGCGAGGCATTTATAAACCTTAAACAAGCGTCATCGTCATACGCCGTCACACTTCCTGTTGATGGGCATGGCACAATGTTGCACGGTAAAGCCACACCTTTGTCCCTGAAAGAACTTGTTTTCGAGTACTACGATTCAGTTTACTTCCAGTTGGACTTGGACTTTGGAAGTCATAGTTCGAGCGCGTCACAAGCTTCAGCAAAGGTTGAGCAACAGTAACGAAGTGAATAGCTGAGCTGAGAACATTCCTCTTCCCTCCTGTCGGAGCTTGTCAAATAAGAGCCTTTCTGGATTCTGGAAAATGAGGAAAATATCTCGTGTGATTCATGGTCATGGTTTTTATTCGGCTCTTTGTTACGAATCCGATAAACACCTCAGAGGGAAATGGATTGCCCCGCGTGGCATACAGAAGGTCATTTCCTGATATGCTTTTGAAAGAAGTTCCTTAGGGTAATTACAAGATTTCAAGATTTCAGAATGACTAAAATGTCCTTAACCTGCTGGATTGGAAGCATTCAAAGCTTCTGCCCCGTGAGATTCTCCTTCACGTTACTCTGATTGCTTAATTTGACAGCATTAGGTTGTGAGATTTACCTATTTTTCTTGTTGGACAGTTTGTTGAACTTCATGTCTTTGAAAGAGCAAAACTTTCAAAGCTAATTGCATTACCAGCCACTTCTCCTTCTTGTCATATTTACTGTATAGGTGCAATAGACGAGGAAAATAAAAGCAGTTGTTGTTCCCAAGATCTCCAAAGAAGTTAAGATGTTACACCATTGTATTCATCATGCAACGTCATACACTTTCTTTTTCATTAAAAGAACATAGAGAATGGAAAATATTTTAATTTCCAGACATTATCCCCTATCCCATTGTCCATTGATGACGGTTCCCTCAAGTGCCTGTGTGTGTTCGTCATTCTGTCTGATGACTGTCCTTCCGATCATATGTCAACCAGCTAACCTTCCATTTGTCCGTCTCTCCTTTGCTCCGTCTCTCTCGGTCCCCCAGTTCGTCTTGTCTTTTTGCCCCTCTGTTCATTCGTCCGTCCACCTGACCCTCGCTTTATCCATCCATCTGTCCCTCTTTCGTCAATCTGTTAAGAGACAACAGTGATTTGCATCTTTGTTAAAGGGCAGTTCAATTCAATT